CACATATTTACAAGTATTCTTACCAATGAGTCTATCATTGCCGACTCTACCGTTTGCAATGTATAAATTATTATTTTTACAAAAATCAAGCAGATTACGACCAAATGTATTTGGTCTTGCTAGGTCTTGACTCGTTCTTTGAAGCGGTACCCCAAAACGGGTTAACTCTTCGTAATCATATAAATACTCATGCAAATCGTCATTTTCATGTATATTCAATGTTTCAATTAAATGTTCATCTGGAACGATATAATCGTCACAAGTATTAGTTCTGGCATTAAAATCTCCGATAAGTATAACTTTTTTGTCATTTTTAATTAAATTAATCATTTCGCCCTGAATCTCTAAAAATGCTTCATTAGAAGCATACCTGGACGTTTCGGGGGGTACATACACACAGCCCACTAATAGAGTGGATATGTTATTACTTGCACGTACCTCTACCCACTGGACGAACTCGGATGGAGTTTTTGGAAATAGAAGTAATGATTTATACTTTTCTTTAAATATTGTAATTATTCCGCCAGATTTTTTTTTTGTGTTAGGTCTGTTTTTAGCTACATAATCATAGCCGTTTGGCATTTTAAGAATGTCCAGATCGTCAGTTTTAGTTTCAGCTAATATAACGACGTCGTGAGACTTCACAATATCAGAGAATTCTGGTAACAGGATTTTAGACCTGACACCACAAATGTTAACAAACGTGAATTTTAAGTCCTGTACCTCCTGACCTCTTGTGACGTGATCCTAGTGGTGCTCATTGTTCCGTCCCGGGGGTAGGGCTCCGTTGTGCGGATTCCTTGGGGGTGGGGCTCTATAGGGTTCCCCATTGACGTATAACGTGTCGTAACTGAGGGTAGCCCTATTGCCACGGCGCTTCTGTTCCCTCATTATTGGGTACAGAACGGCTCGTCTTTGGGCAATTTCAGGAGGGTATTGCCGCTGAACACTGAACTCCGGTTTATCTCGAAGCTTGATAGGAGCTTCTTTGAGGACTCGTTCCAAGTCATTGAAGTTGGCAAATTTGGCAATTATGCTACGAGGCTTGCCGTCACGTCGCTGTCTCAGGCGGTGTACGTTGTCGAATGATATGCCGTCGGGATTGTATGTCAATGTATGTTATTTTTGAAACACATCAATTAAATGCTTGACCATAACGCACGGCGGGCTAGGCGGGCAAACTGATATGTTTGTGTCGTGTTGTTTATGACGTAGTAGATATTGGACTGTTATATCACTGTGTCTATAGAAAGGTCAAACGATACCTAGATTAATTACTAGCGTTGCATTGTCTTTCTGTATGTTACTGTACTGTTATATCACGGTGTCTATAGAAAGGTCAAACGATACCTAGATTAATTCCTAGCGTTGTAGAAGTATGTTACTGTACTGTTAAGTTTTTATTTACATGCTATATAGAAAATGTGTATATATTATATGTATATTGTTTGTACGGAATAGGAAGGTTTATCGCAGATAATTGCTATCCCAATAAACAGCGGCGTTAATGACCGACTAAGTATAGGTGATACCGTGAGTACACGCGTGTTTATACCAATGCCACTAATACGGAGCGTTTCACGGACAACCAGGAATACCTTCACGTGTTTATACAAATGCCACTAATACGGAGCGTTTCTGGGACCACCAGGAATACCTTCACGTGTTTATACCAATGCCACTAATACGGAGCGTTTCATGGACCACCAGGAATACCTTCACGATGTTGTACCGCATGTTTGTATTTTTATGTCATCATTGGATTACCACAAGTTATGCACGAGCTGTTCCGGAACCGGATGTTTGCTCCACACTTTTATTTTACTGTACATTGATAAAACTGGAACTTCAGAAAATACAAGATCGAGCGATCAGTTTCATTTTGAAAGACGACTTGTTTGCCTGGCTAACATTGTCAGTTAAAAGCGTGCTGTATCTGTAACACCTTATTTGCTTATTTTGTTTTGTTTGTTGTTTAATGTCCTCGCAACAAACAAGGTCATACGAGAAAGTATGCCCAGGGAGGTACTACAGCCATGGTCATACGAGGACGGGTGCCCAGGGAGGTACAACAGCCATGGTCATACGAGGACGGATGCCTTGGGAGGTACAACAGCCATGGTCATACGAGAACGGGTGTCTAGGGAGGCACAACAGCCATGGTAATACGAGGACGGGTGTCTAGGGAGGCACAACAGCCATGAACATACGAGGAGGGGGGCCTAGGGAGGTACAACAGCCATGGTCATACGAGGACGGGTGCCCAGGGAGGTACAACAGCCATGGTCATACGAGGACGGGTGTCTAGGGAGGCACACCAGCCATGGTCATACGAGGACGGGTGTCTAGGGAGGCACAACAGCCATGGTCATATGAGGACGGGAGCCTAGGGAGGAACAACAGCCATGGTCATACGAGGACGGGTGTCTAGGGAGGCACAACAGCCATGGTCATACGAGGACGGGGGCCTAGGGAGGTACACCAGCCATGGTCATACGAGGACGGGTGCATAGGGAGGTACAACAGCCATGGTCATACGAGAAGGGGGGTTAGGGAGGTACAACAGCCATGGTCATACGAGGACGGGGGCCTAAGGAGGCACAACAGCCATGGGCATATCGGGACGGGTGCCTAGGGAGGCACAGCAACCATGGTCACATGTGTACGGGTGCCTAGGGACGCACAACAGCCATGGTCATACGAGGACGGGTGCCTAGGGAGGCACCGCCTAAAACAGAAAGTAGATAGAAAAGAAGGAAGACAGGTAAATAGGAACCGAAAAATATTTCGAGTGTTGCAATAGGGGCAGCAGAACAATGTTGGTCTCTACCATGTCCTCTTAGTTGAAGACAAGGAAGAAAACCCCGATTCCTCAGGGAACCTCTCATTAGTCGCCTCCTACGATACACATGCCGCGGGACACAGCAGGTCTATTCTTGGTTTCTTCAATTTCCCCTTAACGGAAGGCAAGGAAGAAAATCGATGCAAAGGAAGCGACGAACAGAACTAAAAAATCACGTGATATACATCCTCGATATCCAGGGGTTGCATTCACTTTCGCTCTTTGCACCCCTGGAATATGTCTAGGAAAAATCGAAGGCTCAGTGTGCAGTACCTTGTGGACCATCCTCGATATCCAGCGGTTACGCTCACTTACGCTCCCTAGACCCCTGGAATAGTTGCGCCACCTTGTGTATGAGACGAGTAGACTAGTTTAATCCTTTGATGTACATCAAAAGAATATCGCGGTCGCGTAACGGTAAAACTTACTTGCTCTGAAGTCGGGTGTCGCTCCTCTGTAATTTTCAAAGGACAAGTGTCAGCCTAGTGATTGGTCAGGATTTTTTCCTGACACCAATCAAATAGCTACACCGCGAGCCTTCAAATTTCCTATGACATATTCTAGGGGTGTAGAGAGAGCGAAAATGAGCGTAAACCCTGGATATCGAGGATGCGTGATGTAGTGATAATTTGTGAAAAATCAAATGTAAAATGTTGTACAAATGTATTACTTCATGACGTCATCTAGATCTTTTGACAATGTCATGTTGCGATTTTGTACTACGAGACAGATGTAAACGTGACAGATGAGTCCCGAACGGTGTTCCATAGATTTACAAATGACTTGTTTAAATTCTGTGAAATAAACACTTGACTTTATCCTGACACATACGTATTGACGAGGTTATACTGTTCGCTTTGTCTACAAGTTAATGTACATTTGTAGCGTGCGTGATGATCGTTCTAACACGATTCTATGTCGGGGAGGTCACCCTGTGATACGCTCGGTAATTATTGATGATAATAAAACTGTTATAATCATCTGTCGCGACCGTGTTTTTTATTTCAATGATTTTAATGTATTTCTCTATGGGTTAGAGTTAAAGTCAATACAAAATTTTGTAAATATTTTGTTGGTTATTTGTCATAAAGACCGATCGCTTCGATCATTATTTGTCATGATATATAAAGTAATATGGTAAATCAACATAACACAGTTTTTCATTTTTTGATAGTTTTCAATTGTGTTCTATATTTTGCTCATAACGTTGTAAATATGTAAAAAAAACCATGTAAAATTGCTCTAAACATCTTAGTTTAGGTCCAAATATAGCTGTAACAAATCATCAGGTCCCTTTGATTTTGGATGATACTGCAAGTATTAGGGCTAATATTAAAATGTTCGATCAGGTTTCAACAAGGGAGATTACTCGTTTAACCCAAGAACGTCATTATGCTGCCAAATGTCAAAAGATCTCTTTCTTTCCCTGCCTAAGTCACAATTAAATATACCATTCCGTGTTATACAAAAATGCAATTATATCACTTGGTCTTTAATTAACACATTAAAAATTTAAAGTGTAACCGAAAACTAAGAGTGAAGTGGACAGGGGAATAATTAAGCAGATAAGGGGACGGGGCTTGAATTAAGATCGGGGCTAGAGACAGGAGTGAACAGTCGGCAATTGGAATAATACTTCTTAATTAAAGAAAAATTAAACAATTTTTGTTGTACTTGTACATACTTTTTAAACTTTATTGAGAGATTGACTGACAGTTCATAAAACATGAAATATACTGATAATAATTCTGTACATGGAAGTAGTACTAGCGCATGCCTACCTTTGTGGTAAAACTCCCACATGTACAATTGGTCGTTTAAGACGAAGTAGCGTATCTATCAATACATCTTCAAACTCCATTTAATATTTATAAACAAGATACCGGAGTTTGTTTACTTGTAGAATTCCTCCGATCTCACTTGCAGATAAGATTTTTTTTAAGGAAAACAAACGCAAAAATTGGCAAGGAAGAACAATTTAGGATGACAAAAAGATCTAATTTCAAAAGAAATTATTATCGTTGAAAATCAGTTACACACACTTCTGTTGAATGTGTCCCCGGGGTGGAAGGTTATCACGTGCCAGTAGACAGCACGTGAGCCGTGTCCGTCCAACCAATCGTATTTCAATACACATACCGGAGTTCATTATTTCACACTTAGCGGTGCCAACGTATTTGACAATGTACATAAATGCATGATTTTTATATACAGACTATGCAAACTTGCCTAGGTGTACAAGGGGACAGGTATACATACCTGTACAAAGTTTACCTGTGTGTCTAAGGTAAACCTGTTGTTACCTGCATATACACAGGTGTTCCCCGAGACGGGTAAGTCATCAACAGGATGGTATAACGATACTCCAAATACGGTGGTGTGCAACCAAGGTCCCGGACACTTTAAACCCATCGGACACACACAGGGCATATCCATGGATCTATGGACAGAATCCTACATGCTTAGTGAGGTGAGCGATTTATACGTAATTTTAAATTTTGTAAATGTTTAAATTTAGATGTTGACAACGTATTGTACGACTGTTTGTATATAACATAAAACTAATTAGGGCTCATTAGCATTACAGGTGTATTCAGATGAACATTTATATACCTCTGTCTGCAGATGTAGCGCTAAGCTGTCTTTTTAATGTTGTGTACACACACAAATATATTTATTTCTCCTTTAATTGGCAGAATCGGACAATGTATCTAGTTGCAAAGGTCTCTGGCAGTTAAAGTTTCTCGGCTTGAAGAAACCCCTTAGCATAAAAATTTCATTTAAAAATGTATTTTCCTTTTTTGGAAACTTCCCACAACCCGTGAAAAGTTTGGAGACTCCTGGACTGGTTGTCCGATCTGCCCCAGTGTATCTAAGTTAAATGATTCACTTTACAGACCGTGTGTGGTTTTTTTTGTGGTAGAGTAAAGCTTACATAATCACTGCCTACCCTATCTGTTTATAGATTCAGTTGCATTGTTCTTTCTCAGTATTAAGAATCTTTATTGACTTAACCTACTCAAATGTCTCAATAGTTCAGTGCGACAGTCTCTGTAAACATTTACGCCTTGGCGAGACAACAACAATTTAAAAAAAATTAGATATAAAGAATTTTTAATATTGCAATCTATCATATGGATTTAACGACATTTAACTACAATCTTTAAAGCTTATTTATTGCAGTCCTTTTGTATATTATATACCTTTCTTGACAGGTAAGGAATTTAATGTTTAATCTAAGAATGAACTATTGCATAACTACCGTACCCTGGACGCTCCTCGGAAATGAAAATGGGAGGGAGATGGGGCATCAATAAATAACTTGGTTTACATGCAGCGATACATCTACATTGTGAATCATAGCCTGTATTGCTATACCTAGTGTTAAGACAGTTTGATTGATCTTCCTGTTAATATTGCACATCTGGTCTTTTAAACCCCATTAAACTGCATTTTATTACCGGCCGTCAACTTTTATCAAGTCATTCTTTTCAGTCTTTTCGCACTTTTCAAGGCTGGGCAGGATTGTTTGTATTTTTACACAGTTGTAAATCACGACTAGTGCCTTATTTTATCTGTTTACGAGAATCGGTCTTTCGTTGAGACAGTGCAACGTATAACGCACACGGTAAATATCAGAAACCAAATTAACAATGTTTTGATGAACTTTACCAATATAATTCATCGACCAATACCAAACTCGTTTCTCCTATGCAGTCGAGGTAGAAATCGTGATTAATTTGCTCGTTCAATAACATACACTTTGTCCCCATACGTGTTTTCTTTACCGTTTGTTTTTAAGAAATTCAAGTTTCTTATTTTCAATAAAACCATGTTCGATTAATAAGCGTACAATACCGGGTTTTAGAACTATCATATGTACAATAATATCTTGGCGTTTTCAAATGTCCAAGCGTTACGCTCGCTTTCGCTCTCTACACAGCGAAAGTGTTCCTATCTAATCACAGCGAATCCACTTAAGATTCAGTTTTATTAATATTCATGGTTTTGGGACGTAAACAAGTCTAGACGATCGCCTTAACTTGCGCTATCAACAATCTCACTCAAACGACTGACCACACAATACAATCAAATCCACGCTAGTGTTTTTCACATGGCCTTTATGTAAATCATATAGGTTATATAACATTTATATATATGTCGTACTTGATCAATAAAGTCGATCTGCGAGCTCATGCCAATCTTCCATCGTTTTGAAACTGTTTTGATATCTAGCGATTTTAATTAGTGTAAACTTTCTTTCTTGATGAGATATTTGCATTTCAATCACATACATTTTTTTCCCTTAGAAACATACCCCGGTAGCAAGCTTATGAAGCTTACATAAATCCGTTTTCTATAGATGGAGATAAACTATGTTAAAATAGGTGTTACAGAAAAACACGATTTAACTAAGAAGTAAAGAGTTTCTATCGTAGTGAGGGAAGGGGAGGTGGAACAGTCAAACAAATTTCTGATTAAATAACTTGTAGATTCATGCTGAAAATATTTTCGTTAGTATGTAAAAACATAGATACATATAAATACTGACATGTTGATCTTATGTGTGACAAGTACAGCTCACCGATATATATACAAAACGTTTGGTATCAGCGATATAGTTTTGAACATAAAGTAAAGATAAACTCGTTTTCAACCAAAGGAAAATGTTTGTCTCATGAAAATATTTGCGACGTCTCTGTCCTTTAGTAGAAAATTGTAAAATGTCATATAATATTAACATTACAACAACATCGATCGTAATTGTCTGGTATGTAAGGTCTCCATACCACTGCCAAAACCTATCACTTTGTACAGGAGACTTTTGTCCGACATGACTAGCAATAGCTCATTTCTTGAAAGAAAACTATCCAAATTTGCCCTCCGAAACTTTCATGAAATAAAAATAGAAAGATTCTGAGTTAAAAACCAAATGGGGCCTGCCCAGGATTCGAACCCTGGTCCTCCGATCATTATACTTTTCCTTTAACTAACTGAGCTACATTGTCTATGTTTGCCCAGACAAACTACAGCTAGACATATCTTGCGGGAAGGGAGGGGTTGGGGCGGAGGCGGTGTACTGCATGTACTAAGAACTACATACAAAATGTAGGAACTCTCTAGTGTTTTGCTAGCAGTGGGACAGGCATCCTTAATGTTGTTTCACAGCGCTAATCGATTTCCATAGTCTGTATCTCATTTCACTCGATTTTCTGGATCATCCAGGTGAACACAAGCAAATATTGAAAACCGTTAAAACATTCGTAGGATAGGTCGTTTACACTTTAAAATACTGAAGCGCAAATTACAGTTACAAATGTAGAGTCCTGCATCATGGCTGAACAATATGGTGTCACCTAATTGTGTCGGGTTAGATCATTCAAGCCTACCAGTCCAAGTAAACGTTAGGTTCCGAGCTGTATAACAAAATGTGTTTGAATATCATTTTAACTTCACCCCGTACACTCTAGTCTAGCATTACAAATACATACCTGGTACAATTGTAGGTCCCTATATTTACATGCTGTTCTCCCTTTATGTGAAACGTCGCTTTGATACATTGTTGCGTTGAACCTCACCTTAATACATGTGGTTACCGTACGTATATAATCTAAATTCACGGTTTGTAAAATACTAATATCACACATTAATCTTAAGATATTTTCGTTAATAACGTCTCTGATCTATACAAACTTTACGTGGCTATATTTTAAGCACTATTTGATATATCCATGTCTTCTGTAATGGGATACGTTGTTCTATTAAACACTCATTCTAAATTGTTAAAATGTCGAAAAGGAAAAACACATGAGGATAAAAAAGCTTTAACGTGTTTTAAAGTTACAATTAATGATTTTAAACAACCTTAATTATCCAGTAGCCTAAACCTAAATTTATCAAACTTAAATTAAGGGGTCGCTTTGTCGGAAAAGTGCAAGTTTTTGTCGCCCCTTTAACAATGCGCAAACGTCTTATTCCGTTCGGAATGTCTCAAATGGTTTATATATGGAAATAGAAATATCAGTTCCTAAAACGCGTGCAACGTTTAAGATATTTCTTCTATGTTTATTGAAAGACGTGTTCACGAAAATTGTAATTTTAGCAAATCTACTTGAAGGCTAGCGTATTTTACATAATTTAGAGTACTTAAGTATTTTTTTGTACATGTATATATATATCCCAACACGCTTGTTCACACTAGCGTGATATAATCCTCCAACGACATTGAAAGTCAAGACTTAATATGGCTTCTTGCTGAATTGGATGATTTCGGTGATAAATGAGGCGGAATTTCTTACAATAAACACGGGAAGGTCACTGAACAAAATGTATGAAATCTATCAAATGAAATATGGAGTTAGTTGGTGCGATAAAAAGTGTACTGTGCCCATTTTGAATTAACCTGAAGGTCATTGATCAGATGGTGACTTGGTGCCACGACTTTAGACACGTGCAGGGTAGATAGATAGATCGCATTATAACGACGCTACCTAAAAGGAATTTGCATCACTGAAACCTTTAAAGGGAAATAACTAATCTTTAACTATCCAGTGCAAATGATTGAATTGAAATTGATTTGATTTTAATCTTAACTAATATATATATGTGTGTATTTATTACGTTGTCTGTGCTATAAGATTTCGACGAGAACTTCGATTACGCGAGATGCAAAAACTAATCATAATTTAGCAAATAGGAAAATAATTACTTTATAACCATTGAAGGACATTGTATCACTCAAATATGCATACATCATTTTCAGAGCTAATTAAGTAGAGATATTTTGGTGCTTGAAATACCAAAAGCAAAATCAATGAATGCATGGATACAGTTGAAATTCGAACACATTACTGTTTCCAGTCTTAGAGATGAGCCCCAGAGTTACACAATTTGGTTAAATGATAGATAACTTTTAAATAACACTAAATTGATTGATAATGATATTCTAGTACAAAATGTAAATACCCCGTCGTTAAAAATTATTTTCGATGAGCATACATTCTTTAAAATCAAAATCGTTTATTTTTCTTAAAATTTGGATCTATTTAAACGTCCCGCTAATGCAAAAGATATTTCTATATATGTGTTTTTTACGGATATATATATATCTACATTTACACATTCTACGACACATTCTCAAGACCGGAGTTATCACATTCGTGAGAAAATAAAACCAGTTTCGTTAAAACGCAAAACAGCTGGTGAAATCAACATATTTCATACAAAATCATGAACATTTGGTTTCGCCTACAGATATTTCCGTGTGTTCATGCTGTTTTTCCTTTTGTTTCGGTGTCTCCTCTGTTCCTGCTGTTATGTATTTGACTAACTTGTGTAGTATCATGCTGGTGTTCTGGTATTTAATATTATTTCGCTTCTGAACGATGACCTTCTCAAAAAGTGATTTATAGAAAATAAAAAAACAAAAACAGATAAAACATGCGAACATTTTAATTTTGTTAAGTACAA